TCGTATACATACATACATACATACATACATACATACATACATACATACATACATACATACATACATACATACATACATACATACATACATACATATACTTGTGGTAAAGAGGTACGGTGTTCGCCTCTCGTTTGATAGTTCCCGGGTTCGAAAAATGTGTTCCCTAAAAAGTAAATTTTCCTTTCACCTTTCTTGCTTTCGAATCATGATCTGTCGTCTGCTTTCGTCTCCACTTTCTGCTCCCTCGCCTTTCCCCCCTCCCCCTTTGCCCCCTCCTGTGGGCTCCTGAGAGAGAGAGAGGAGAGAGAGAGAGAGAGAGAGAGAGAGAGAGAGAGAGAGAGAGAGAGAAAGAGTCAGAGACAGACAGGTTCAAACTTGTTGCTAGTGGCTATTCTGATATACTGTTTACGCACACAGTAGTCAATGAATTATGAAACTTCTCCTAATAAGAGTTTTAGGATTTTAATACTTGAATAAACAATGGTATTTCACAAACAAGTTATAGAAGCAGGCTATAGGTCTATTATTATTTTCAAATATTATACTTAAAGAATTTCAAAGTCCTACCATATACTTACAAGGACCGAAAAGCAACAGGTCGCCCACTTTTCCTGCAACACTGGTTAAGTTTCAATTGTCGAGCATACAGTTGTTGAGCAGTGTACAAGATCGACATAAGCCTTCACCTATCGTGCTTCCTCTCTCTCTCTCTGCTATAACTACCACTGTGTTAACAGACTTCCGTTTATAAGGTCCCTATATCGTAACGATGCAAACATTGAGGGGTTTATACCTCTTATAATTAACGTTCCGAGTGGTCGGTATCTTCTACCAACCACCTCCGTACCCAAAGAGAGTACAGTACTAGCCTTAAACACTATTAAATAGGCCGAACCTGAGGCAATGCTGACGCGTAGACCTTGATGTGGCAGGTCTCCTCTGCTCGTTGTGTCTCGTGCAAAGATGAGCTCCAAAACAGGTATAAGCCCATTCGTCAATGTCATTTCAAAGCGGGTTCTCACACTCTATCGCTTCTCAGTGTCTTTTGACAAGGACTCCAGGAATCAAAGGACTTAACAAAGTAGGGCCACACGATGGTGTAAATCTCCGCCCCCATGCTAAGATTTTCAGTTCTACCTGATGCTGATTCACTTTGGGAACGCCTAAGGTGTAATAGGTGACCATGATGAGTCCGAATTGCGCAATGACCTCCCTCGGTTCCTTTGTCACAATCGTTCTATTGAAACTGAGCTGGACTCCGGCATACAGGACAATGCCTCAGGGTTACGAGCCCTTGCTTGTCTCACTTTGTTACAGTGTGTGTGTGTGAGAGAGAGAGAGAGAGACAGAGAGAGGGGGCGGGGAGAGACAGAGACTGACAGATAGAGAGAGAGAGAGAGAGAGAGAGAGAGAGAGAGAGAGAGAGAGAGAGATGCGTGTGCTCGTGTACTGTAACCTGTGGGTTCACTATAAAACCAATTTCCTGTATGCCTATAAAGCTTTGCTACCTAAAAGTATCGTTGGTGAGCTGTGACTCAGGCCGTATGGGTACGCAAAATGTTTGTGAGAAGCAGGAAGTACTGTGAACAATCCCATTTTCCGCATGACGGTGATTTGTAGTATTTTATATAAATTTCGGAAAAGATTTTAGGGTTGTTGTTTTTTAATTTTGCCTCAATTCTTGTACAAAAATATGATAAACTTAAGACAAATTGATACTAACTACTGTGCAAAAGTATGGGTGACAGTGATTCACCCGTTAGTGGGATATTTGAGGGTACGTTGAACCACGAATTTTTGACCGCATTATAGTGTAATTTTGCGTGTGTGTGTGTGTGTGTGTGTGTGTGTGTGTGTGTGTGTGTGTGTGTGTGTGTGTGTGTGTGTTTATGTAATGTGTGTGTATGTGTGTGCTTGTGTATGTGTGTGTGTGTGTGTGTGTGTGTGTGTGTGTGTGTATGTATGTGTGTGTGTGTGTGTGTGTGCTGTGAAAGTTTGTGATATCGAATGTGTGTTCGACTTATGTGACGTAGAAAGAGTGAGTAAACTAAAATCAACGGAAATGGGTAAAGCTGGGATGGTCCTAGTTAACCATGATACTTATACCTCTTCTAAATAAGGGATAAACATTAAAGAAGACAATAAAAAGTGTGAAAAAGCAAAATACAAGCCGCAAGGCTGGAATATGCCAAGGCCCGCTAACTCAAGTTTTGGTCTTGATTTTGGAATCTACTGTAGGAAATGATGGGGTCTTTGTGGGTTTGAGGGGG